AAATAAAAATTTGTCGGAGTCATGGAATCGCTACCTCACGATATGTTAGAGCTTATTCTAGAGAGAGTTGGTGAGAAAACTCTTACGAGATTCAAATGTGTGTATCAAAACGTTGGAAATCCATAATCGAATCCGAATACTTCCAAAACAGACTATTGATTCGACATGCGCATAATCTTCTTTTTTTGAGTTGTTCATGATCCAAAAGAGAAATTCAAAGCAGGAGGGTTTGGTGATGATGCACAACAAAGATGTTACAAGTCGCGATAAAGATATTTTGTTTGGTTTTTTATTTTATTTCCAAGTTTCACATTCCTAGTAGCCTTAGGATTGTGTTATTAACTTGATACTAGCTTTTTATTTTTATTTGCAAACACACCATTACGGGTGTTCTTTCCCTTTTGACATGGTGTTTTTTTTTTGTTGTTGTATAAAACATCGCTATAGGATGTTTGTTTGAAGAAATTCCATTCTCAATTTTGGTCATAATTAACCAGAATGTGAACCAACCAACCCGAATTAGTTATGATTTTTCATTTTCTTTTATGACATAAAAAGTTGGGGGAAAAATAAAAAAAAAAGTTCTATGTATATCCGATTCGGGTCATTGTAACTTGTGGTTGCGGAAAACAAGAGAAAGGACAAAGAAAATTGGAGGATGTTCTTTACACTTGTTGCTGCAATTTAGAGGAAAAATGCATAAGGACATTATTTCAAGTTGACATAAATTTCTTCTTATCGAATGTGTATGCACATACATCATAAGTGTATATCCACACATAACAATGCAATAAAATAATTCTTTTTAACTGTAATTAATTTCTCAGATTATTAGTCAAAGATTCTGATTTTTTTTTTTCCTAACTACACTTTTTTATATTGTTTACATAGTAACAGAAGATTATAGAAAAAGTAAAGTTCTTGAGACATTTCAAAAACAGCAAAGAATGTAGTAATAAATTAATTAAATTATTAGGTGTTGCCATGTCTGATTAAGGGTAACATGGTAGTTTACTACTTTTCCTCCCTCCAAAAAAAAAATCTCAACGACCAAAAATCTTAACCCTTGAAACAAAGAAACGAATCAACGCCACTACCAAAAAACTCCAACAAGGATCAGGAACAAAAAAAAAAATGAAAAATTTCTAAGCAAAAATCTCTCTATTCTCTTACCGACCCGTAATCCGTTTACCCGACCCTGCCAAACAAAACTGGAGACTCCATTCACATGAGTTGGGTTTAATGACCCGTACTGGAATCTACCGGAACCGGAGCGGTACATCCGATTCAGAGACATCCGGCGACGACGGCGGAGGAGGAACAACCGTCATGAGAGTGATCGTGCCTTTACAAGGAGTGGTTCAAGGCCGTGGTGGTTTAGTTCTAGGCTCTGTAATTCCTTGTGCTTTCTTCTACTTTCTCCAATTCTACCTCAAACGAAACCGTAGAGACGAACCCGAACCCGACCCGGATAATCAGAACTCAGCTTCTTCTCCAGGGTCGGAACCCAACAACTCGGATTCCTCGAGTGAGCTCACTGTGTTGTCTCGGTCTCTGTCTCGGGTAGTTACTTCGCCGAGAAACTCCGGGACTCACGTTTCGGTTTCGGGTCGGGCGAATAGTATCCTCAGAGGTGGGGATTCGCCGGGGAAGAAACGGGTCGAGGAGGATCCGTATGACGAGTTGGATAATCCGGATGGTATCATCGAACTTGGTTTAGCTCAGAACAAGGTAAGGAAAGTTTCGATTTTTATCATTTTTTTTTCTGGGTTCTATGATTTTAGTTTGTGTTCTTTCGTTGCAGTTGAGTTTGGATGTTTTCGAGGATTTGGTTTCTGATTATTCAAAGGAAGAAACTTCCATTGGATTGAGTTTAAGTGGGATTGCTTCTTACGAGCCTTCTGATGGACTTATGGAGCTGAAAATGGTTACTTTTCTTTAGATCGCTAAAGCTTTCAACTTTTTCATTGACTCGAGAATGGTACAGAAGAAAAATATGACGAATTGCTCATGAAGGATTGTTGAGCTGACTGATGTTTCCTGCTTTGGGATCATTATGTGTTCTTGTATTTGACTGAAGTTTGTGAATTCTCTTTTTTCATTGAGACAGGTTGTGGCAAGGCTCATGTCTGAAGCAACCAAGAACACTGTTTCCTTTGATCCATCGCAGTTAGTGTTAACTTCCGGTGCAGCAGCCGCGGTCGAGATTCTTTCCTTCTGCTTAGCCGATTCTGGAAACGCCTTCCTTGTTCCAACGCCGTGTTCCCCCGGGTAACGATTTTAGTTTATTGTTTGATTTTGTGGCTGCTCAAGAACATTTAGCCCTTTAACTTCAAAAGCTGGTCTGTTTCTGCAGATTTGATGCGGATGTGAAATGGCGAAATGGAGTTGAAATCATACACGTTCCTTGTAGAAGTTCTGACAATTTTAATATATCTGTGACCACGCTTGATCGGGCTTTCTCTCAAGCCAAGAAACGCGGTGTGAGAATCCGTGGGATCATAATCTCAAACCCTTCCAATCCAATGGGAAGTCTCTTGAGCAGAGAAAATCTTTATGCTATTTTGGACTTCACTCGCGAAAAGAACATTCATATAATCTCTAACGAGATCTTTGCTGGTTCTACCCACGGAGATGAAGAAGCAGAGTTTGTCAGCATAGCTGAAATAGCAGACACAGAAGAGACTTTCGACAAGGAAAGAGTTCACATCGTGTATGATCTTTCGAAAGACTTGTCTTTTCCAGGACTCAGAACCGGCGCCATTTACTCCTTCAATGAAAACGTTCTGGCGGCTTCTCGAAAGCTCACAACGTTCTCACCCGTGTCATCGCCATCCCAGCATTTGCTCATTTCCGCAATCTCCAAACCAGAATTTATCCAAACATATGTTAAAACCAATAGACAAAGACTACAGAGAATCTACTCAGAGTTTGTGAAAGGATTGAAAAGTTTAGGAATCGAGTGCACGAGAAGCAATGGAGGGTTGTTTTGTTGGGCAGATATGAGAGGATTGATCTCTTCTTACAGCGAGAAAGGCGAGATCGAGCTTTGGAACAAGTTCTTGAACATTGGTAAGATCAATATAACTCCAGGATCTAGCTGCCATTGTATTGAACCAGGATGGTTTAGATTCTGTTTCAGTAATTTGTCAGAGAAAGATGTGCTTGTAGTTATGAACCGTATCAGAAAAGTTTGTGAAACATGTAAATCTCAAGATTAAAAAAATGCTTATCTACATTCCTCAAAGTCGAATCTTTTTTGATTTTCCAGGGGAGGAAATAATAATAATTTCATTGAATAAACGTAATTCTAAACCAAAAGAATAAAACATTTTCCCCCTAAAACCCACTTTCTAAGCTCTAAAAACTAACACTGCACATTTTCTATGCAATCTTTACTCGAAGAGGAAAAAAGCTTCATCATGATCCAAATCCATTTCTGATTGATTCAAGAACCTGCACAACCTCGGCCATACTCGGTCTCTTCATTGGATTCTCCGACGTACAAAGCAGTCCTAACTTCATGACTTGAATCAGCTCGTTCTCTTCAAACTCTCTCAACCTTCTATCAAAACAATCAGAAGCTGAACCAGTCTCTAACATATCCCTCACATAATCTCTCAAGATCAAGACTTGGTTTTCTGATGGAGACTCGACCGGTTTTCTACCCGTTACCAGCTCAAGAAGAACCACACCGTAGCTATACACATCGCATTTCTCACTCGCTCTCAAACTCTGCTGCGCTAGCTCTGGAGCAATGTACCCAACTGCGTTGTGGAACTTCTTGGTGAAACCAAAGCTGTCCAGAACCGGGAGAAACTTTTCTAACCCATAATCCGATAGCTTTGCCTCGTAACTTTCGTCTAGAAGAATGTTGGTGGACTTAACATTAAGATGAAGAATCGCCGGCTTACAGTCATTATGAAGGAAAGAGAGCGCTTTTGCGGTTCCTAAAGCAATCTGAAATCTCCTGTGCCAATTCAAATCAGTATTCCCATGGCTTGAGCTGGTTCCCGGGTAGATTCTTAGGTGTAGATTATCGTAGAGGCTACCGTTTGGGACAAATTCAGAGAGAATCAACTGCATTGTTGAGGAAAAATAATAACCTTGGAAAGAAGACAGATTCGGATGTTGCAAGCCTCCAAGCCGTCCGATTTCTTGCTCAAACTCTTCTTGATTTCTGATTCTTCCTAAAGTCTCAAGCTTTTTCACTGCAATGGAGACCCCGCCTTCGAAAGATGCTCTATAGACTGATCCAATCGATCCCATGCCAATTATATTTTCCTTGTCAAGCAAAGCTTTTGTACCCGCTTCCCAATCTTCATACTTTGAAGGCAAATTCTTGCTGAAAAGAACAAGCTTTCCGATTATCACACCGCTAGAGTCAATTGAAGACGCCAGAGGAGTGGTTTCGACTGTAACTATTTCTTCGCCTTTTCTCCTTTTACGAGCTCTTAAGTTCAAAGCAAGCACTAGGCAGACACCAAAGAGGATAACAGCAGCAGCAACTATAACAATGATAACAGAAGTGCTTAGAGCTGTTGAATTTCTGGATTTTGCTGCAGCTCCACGTGAATTGCAGGGAGTTACAAGAGGGTCACCGCATAGGAAAGGGTTGTTTGAAAACGCAGAAGATCCGAAAGCTTGAATCATCGGAACAGGAGGGATAACACCGGATAGATTGTTGTAGGAGAGATTGAAATGTGTTAGTGTATTCAAATTCCCGAGGGAAGACGGGATTGACCCTGAAAGCGAATTAAGTGAAAGATCAAGAAACTGGATTTTAGTGAGGTTTCCAAGTTCAGGTGGAATACTTCCGTTGAGACGGTTTCGATGCAGATCAAGAATCTCCAGGTTTGTTAAGTTTAATAGCTTCTTAGGGATCTCTCCTTCTAAATCATTCCCTGAAACATCACTGCAACCAACATGGAAAACGTTTAATAACAATGCGAGATTCAAATACAGTAACAATAATTGAAAAAATTCCCTAAAACATCGAGCAACAATTAGAACTCACAGCTCAAGAAGTACTCTGCAATTGGATATATCCTCTGGAACTTCACCAATGAGGCTGAGATTATGCAGATTCAAAACCTGTAAGAACACCAAATTTCCAATCTCTCTCGGTATCTCCCCGTCTATAAAATTATCACCTAATCTGATCACCGAGAGGCTCTCCATCTTCCCCATACCTCCCGGGATACTCCCATTCAGCTTGTTAGACTCCAAGTCCAAAAGCTTGAGACTTCTGCAACCCGTTACACCGATAGGGATCCTACCAGTTAACTCATTCGACGAAGCATCCAAAAACTCCAAACTTTCACCGCAACCAACTATCTCTCCAATCTCCCCACCAAACCGGTTCCAAGAAACATTGACATACGCTATGTTCTTGAATCCAAGAACCTCGAAAGGCGCAAACCCGTGGAACAAATTGCTTCCAATATCAACATGGCTCAATCTCCGACATTTCGGTATCTCCTCAGAGACATCACCAGACAACAAATTGTTTCTCATTGAGATATACTCAAGCACCGGAATATCACAGATCCTACTCGGCAACACTCCGTTAAGATAATTATAAGAGAAATCAAATCCTTCGAGATTGTTACAGTTTACTATTGAATCAGGGATTGATCCAGAGAGATTGTTATGAGACAAAGAAACAAACTTAGTCTTGTTACAGAACTTAAACAGAGAAACAGGAATCTCTCCGGCGAAACCATTTTTAGACAAATCAAGAAACCTCAAGCTAGACAATTCGCCGATAAACTCCGGGATCGGACCAGACAAAGCATTGGAACTAACATTAATCGTCCACAAAGTCTGTAACTTGGAGTAATCAACCGGTAAATTACCTGTAAACCTGTTGCCAAACAAGGTCAGAACTCGAATAAACTTCAAACCGGACAATCCCGGAGTTAGAGTTCCGGCGAGACTTGTGTTCCAAAGAACGATTTTGTCCACGAACCCATCTGGATTACAAGTGACTCCATTGAAGCTGTTACAGAGATCGCCGTGAGAGACCCAAGAGACCAAGCTATTGTACGGATCTTCACTGATACTCTCTTTGAATCGAAGCAGAATGTCTCGTTCTTCGATAGAGTAACATGAAGAAGTTGAAACGAAGACGAAAGTTACCAAAACCAGAAAAAGATAAGCCCTTTTCATAATATTCAGCTGAGAAACGGATCTACCCGGTTGACATTGTCGGTTCTCGGATCCTAACCCGAACCCGGTTCGTGAAATCTACAGTCTTTCTTCTAGGGAGCTCCAAATTAGAATTCTTCCTCGAGAATCAAGAACAAGTAGCGGCATTTACGAAAGAGAGATCGAAACCCAATAAAACGAAACGGTTGATTATTTTCTTGGGATTGGCCTCAAGTTTACTTTTGCATTTATTTGGTCGTCCTTAACGGCTAGAAAAATTTACCGACCAAAGTCAAAACTCTTCGAGAGAAACGACAAAAACAAGAATCAATCACAGATTCAAGAATAAGAAGATTCGGAGGTGTGTTTGTAAGTTTTCGAACCAAATGCACACAACATAAAGAAAAGAAGAGATTTTGCTCAGCTCATCTTTGCATTACAGAGAAAAGAGAGTA